AACGTCAGATATTTCTCCTCACAACCAAAGCCCTGGCAGAGTTAACACCCAGCAGAACTAAAAATGGCTCGTTTCACCTGAAATATTATCTGCACAATATGTCTTCTTCTTCACTGCAGACACACACACAGTACAAACTGCCATGTGCAACAGTAGGTGGTATGTGAAAACCGACAGACAAACTATCATCACCTATAGCTCTGAGCCAACAGTCTCCTGCCTCCAATTTCCACTAACCCCCCTCCCTCTCTATCCTTTTTATGATAGCTGCATCATAACAGATTCATCCATCATACAGATGCTGAACCAACATTTAGGTTAAAGTAAAGGTTCAAGTAAAGATGGTTAAATGATTGTGAAATAGTGGATGGATGGATGCATGGACATCTTTACATATATACGTATATAGAATAATTATTAGAATTACAGCAGAAAACAAAATACTTTTTAGTTTTACGCTTGCAATGTAAACTTTACTTTCAGATATTGTCTTTTTTAAATATATTTTTTACAGTAAGTCAGTTAATCTGACTTGTTTAACATTTTATTTTTACATTATATTTTGCTTTTGTATGTTTTGGCTTTATTTATTTGGGGATTTGTTTGGCTAGCTTTTTTGTGTTTGCTGGGCTAACACCATGTTCATAACTCGGTGAAGCAGCAGCATGTATGTAAAATGTAATAACTTAAAAATGTTCCATTCTTTGTTTGGGTTAAAATGTGTTGAGTCACTACATTTCAGTACATCGATGTTTATGCGTGAAATAAAATGTTTGCTTACATTTGAATTTGTAGCTGTTAATGTTTGGACATCTGCTTTATGTCATTCATATATATAAATATATAGTGTAGTCTTAGAGCAGACAGTGCACGTGCTGCAGACAAAGACAAATAGCCTCGAATAGCTTGGGGGTAAAATAGGCTTGGCTCCCGCCCTTCTCCACCCCCTACTGTGTCACCCCAGTTTCTCTGTCCAGAGTGAGCTGACGCTGTGTGCTAACAAGTCGTCCCTCTTCCTTTTATCTGAGGGTGGATTGAGGGATTGGGTGGGGGTGTGGGAGGAGGGTGAGATGAGCCGGGCTCACATCCGCTGACAGTCATGAAATATGTATAGATGCCGTGCCTCTGCGGGGAACATAATTGATCCGAGGACGCCATTAACCACGGCACATCCCAGTTTTGGCTGTGCTGCACCTGTGATCTGCACCCCCATGCTCTTCCCCCGTCCCCACCCCTATTTTAAGGAGGTGAGACAGTCACGCAGACAAGAGAGAATAACAACGAGATGAATGGAAGAGATCCGCCCTAGCACTCAGTCACAGCCAGAGTCATTATTTACTCCTAGCTTTAGCATTTTGTGTCATCATGTCTTGGCTTTTCTGCTCTCACTCAGTGGCAGTCGGCACTAGTTGACGTTGCTAAAGTATTAAACAAGCTTTTGTGTTTATGAACGGTGTGAATTATAAACCAGTGGGTCTACCTCTACAGACATGCTGCTCTTTGTGGATGCATTCTTCTTCAAGCAGCTTTACAGCCTGGATCTACTGCCTCTGTCACACATTGTGACCACATGGCACTGGTTAAAAAAAAAAAAAGCCACAAACTTGATGTTGATTCAGCGTTTCTTGTAGTTTTTTCCCTTACCCCAACTTTTAAAAGGCATTTTATTGAGGGGCACAGCACAGATAATGGTAGCAGACCATTGGGGACACATAGAATGAGACCCTGAGGGGGTATCGGGGGTCTTTACATATAAGATCATCAAAGACAGCTAATGATACCGGACTTTATGATCGAGTTTCTCATTTTAGTCTTCTATTCACAGCCAAGTATGTTTTAAGAGACTTTGCTTAATGATTGTTTTAGGCTACAAATACCATTGTTTTCAGGGTCCATAATCCGATAACAGCCTAGTTCCAGCTGTATGACCTAGACCCTCAGATGGAATGTGATTACACAACTTACAAAATATTTTAAGTGATATTTGTCTAAAAGTTATAATGGCTCCTATAATCTCTCAGGAAACCCTTAAATAGTTATAAAGTTAAAGTAATATTTATGATGAATAGTGTTGAAAAAGTTTTAAAATGAAAACAAGTGAATTCAAGATAAATTCAAAGATAAAAACTGAGTTGTTGCAGTGGCATCTAAGAGATGAATACAGCTTTTAAAACCAATAAGGAGTGTAGAGACCTGCATAACACTATATTGAAAATGTGCCTTTGGAAATGACTCATCCACACGTGGACAACAATATCATGCAGTATTGGCATTTCAATATTATAGTATAGATTATTTTGCCTTTATGGCGACCAAATGATAGAGACAATAATGTCAGCGCTTCTAAGTAACAACTCAGCCAAACACAAATCAATAATCAGTGGAGTAAAGCGATCAGTTCCACCATTGATAGTCTCTCTCCGAGCTCATCAGATACAAGATGCAACGCAAGTTATAATCCTAAGGGAAATTTAGTCTGTACAGAATGGTCAAGAAAATCAACAACTAAAACAAACAGCAGAGACATGATCTTCAAGCAGTAAAACTGACGTCCCCACAACCTTCTTTATTCTATAATGTAGCGGAAATTTGCAAAAAAAATAATAATAAAAAAGTCATGATGAATAAGTAAAAACAAAACAAAACTGCAATAACAGATTGACTCTTTTGAGTTATTTTTGAAACACTGTGTTTGCACTTATTAAATATTCTGCAGACAAACAGCTTCAAATATGTGAATCAAATATTCTTGAAAAAATGTTGTGCTCCAGTTTTGTCTGAAAACGCCAGCGCTCCATTTTAGTGTGGCCAGCAAAACACAGATCTCTATAAAAACAATGATGCAGTTATCTGCTTTCCCTCAATGGCTGGTTCTTATCACTGCAAAAATAGCAGAAATATGCCTCACTAGAAATTACCTTTGGCTATCTCGACTTTTTCAGTACCATAGTGTGGATGTCTGGAAGTCTGTAGAGCACAGAGTCACCGAAGCGTAAATGGAATGAGTACAGATTTTATAGAACTAGCAATAGATGAATAATGGACGATGAGATGTGAGAGTCATGTGTCAGTTTGTTGAAATATTTGATTTTGTTTGAAAACACTTTTCTATAGGGAGTATATTCATGGCCTACTTGGAGTCTCTCAGCAGTCAGTGTTTGTGACCTCAATAGTTGGGAATTTCTGATAGCCTGATCAAAAAAGGTGAAATATCTTAAACTCAAAGTTCAGTTTCATTCCTTTAAACCTGTGAATGAAACAAACCTGAATGACTGTGTACCCTCTCAGCCAATCAAAATTCCGTGTTCCACTAAAGCTTAGCAGTGACTTACATGGATTTGGAATGGAGCTTAAACATCAAGGCTGACGTCGTGTTTCAGCTGCCTTCTTAACGAAGAGAAGCCTAGTTTTTCTGAACCTACAGAATCTGGATTTAAAATAATGAAAACCGAGTCCGCAGAGGTGAGGCGGAAAAAGCCTCTCTGAGGCTGTCCTCTAGGTCTTCGGAACGATCATTGTCAAATAAATCCCAGCTTCTGACAGGCGGATGGTCAGCAGTGGACACAGGAAAGAAAAGATTTTTTTTTTTTTACTCCCTGCAGTCCACCAACTTCTTTTGTATCGCCAACACAAAAGTCCTGTGTATAGCCTGTCAAATCAGCCATTTCCATGTGTTACCATATGTATGGAGACAATGTGGGGGATGGAAAAAAAAAAACCTGAGCAACATATTAGCCGTTGAGAGCTAACTGATTAGTTTAGAAGCGTTTAAAGGAAGCCAAAAAAGGTTTTTGGTTTAATGACCTGACGCATGAATAGACGTTAACTACTGCCAACATCAAACACTAAATTATTTTAGTACCATATTAGAATTTTCTTAAAAGCAGT